CCGGCCGTGCGCCCCCGAGTGCGGAAGAGTGACATTCACGCGTCCCCAGCGAAGCCCAGACCCAGGCTGCGGGCAGCGGCGCCCTTGGCCCGCCCACCCGCCTGGCTCGCTGCAGCTACCCCGGGCGCCTGAGTTCCTTCGTCCCGCAGGCTTCCTAGAGGGAGGAGCCTGGTGGAGAGGAAAGAAAACAAGTAAAAGGAAATCGATTATCCGAGATTAACCTCTGTTAGAATTTTTGGAGCAAATTTAGGAGATTTTTAAAATCACATTTGGCGACATTTAAATAGCAGTTCTTGGGTCCTCTGCGTGCAAAATCCTAAATGCATAAGTAAAGGTTTTAATGTCTGCGTTCAACACCTTACCAGAGCAAAATTCTTATCACCGATTTTCTCACCCTAACAGGACCATTTACACTTAAACTATATGGATATGTGGAATGATCCTAAACAAATGCAAAGAATATGTCCAATTAAAGTCGAGCCAATAGCTTGTCGTTTTCATGGTTTCCAGTGCCTCGCACCTAGTGGATGTTCAGTAATTGATCCAATGACCACATAATTTCTAGGTGAAAAGGCACACTCTGGAAAAACTGAAAACATAACAATCAGAAATATCATAAAACTGAGTAGGCCTCTGTTGCAACCATAATCAAATATTTATAAACTGGCAAAATAAGAGAAGCACATGTTATCCTGGGAAGTATGTTTCATTTGACAGGTAGCTGTAAAGACAGCATGATGTCTTTAAAACACATCCGGTCAGAACATAGCCTCTGAGGCTCAAGCCCAGCTCTACCATCTATCTGGGTGGCTTGGTCATTGACACTTGATGACAGTGGACCTTTTTCTCCTCCATAAAGTGAAAGCATTGGGCCGGATAATCCTCAAGATGCTAAATTTGGTTTCCAATTTGGGATGGAAACAACAGTTCAAGACAGCAAATGACCTGGAAGGAACGATCAGAAATTGAATAAAGGAAAAACAGAGAGCAAATAGGAAGTAGGAATGAGCTTGAGAGTATGGCCTAAAGGCTCTGGGGGAAAGGAATCCCAGAACCGGGTCCCCACCATAGGTATGTAGTAAAGGCCACTGTTACCTTAAGAGCACTCACAGGAAATTTGACAAGACATTTTAGCCCCGACTCCTCAGGAAGAAACTCCTGCCTATGAAGAACAAGGACTAGAATATGAGAAAATGAAAACAAACAAAACAAGTATCTCCAATGAGACACTTTGTAAACTCCTAGTCATTAAGCACATAAAATCAAGCCAGGAATAATGGAGAAATACTAACATCATTATCATCAAAGTGAACATTCTGGTTGCCAAATAACAGTGAGCAATGAGAAATCTCAAGTTTATGAAGTATGAAACCAGGATTGATTGTTCTGAAGATGAAATGAGTTGTTGCATGTGGAAAATGTTTTGTAAAATATTAGGTATTTGTATAAGATATAAAGCAAGCAATTTTTAATTGAGCTTCTTAAAAGCAGCAACCATTCCTTAATCTCCTTAATGTTTGTGGTACTTTGCACAACGCAACACTTATAAGCATTTAATATACGCTTCTCTAATGAATTGTTGAATGAGCCCTCCATTAGCTAGTATCATTTTTCTAGACAATTGGAAGGCTCTTTAAGCATCAAGTCTTTTATTTTTGATTAAGTATTTCTAGGGAATTTTTTCCTATTGTGGTTTTCATAATATCCTTGTCATTCTCGGGGAATATGAGAATCAGTACGTTTATCAAATCTATTAATACTGTATTCTACATTTATAACAATATCTGAAGAAGATAGTAAAAGTCACTTTAAGAAGAATCTTGGAGGGAGATGAAAGTATCTTAGGTAATTGAGGTGATTTTAAGCACTTATATGTAAAATAACTTTCACATTTCCAAAGAGCTTCGAAGGTAAGTGACAAGGCAGTTAGCAGTGGTTGCTATAGTAGCAAAAGAAATATTCAGCCTCTGCCTCAAACTGCTGCCACCACACTATACTGTCCAGTTTTTATTATCATTTCCGGTTATTTCATTTGATTAGGGGATAAGGTGGATAAGCGAACAGGAAGAATACAATGTGAGTCCTGGGGAAGAATAAGACCAAGCCCCTAAATCTGAATTGCTCAATCCTCTGGGAAGAAAGAGGAAGAATCAATTACTGCCCTGCAAAAACAGTTTGAGGGCTCATTAGAGAGTAAAAGAGTAACAGATGACTCTTCCTTCTGGTACGTCTCACAGGAAGAGATAATATTTAACATCAAGAAGCTGCTGGAGGGCTGAGGGTGGAGAAGCAAGCCAGAGCTGAATACACAAACAGCTATGTTTTCACAGAGTAATAGACAAACAATATATAAACAATATAAGCACCATACAGGACTATGTAGGAAATGTAAAAGTATCTCCACAGTCAAAATGCTTTATCCAATAGTTTGTCAGCTATTTGAGAATCGACTGAGTCTCAATGGCCCAGAGTTTATCACTACAACTAGCACATAGCAGGTACTCAGTATGTTGGGGAGGTAGGAAGCCAGGAGTTCCACAAGCTATGTGGGAGAGCTACCAGCACATTACTATCCAAAGCCACGTCTGAAAATATTTAAGGGGTCTTGCACCCATTACTCTGACTAAGCATACAGCTTAATCTGATCTTTTTTTTTAATTAATTAACTCATTTTAATTAGGTTCAAGTTACAGCACATTGGTTAGACATCTATATATTTCATAAAACGATCTCCCCAATTGCTCCCTCCCTCCCCTGACCCTCCACCTAGCCAACATATTAATGCCAACTGCATTCCCTATGCCGTGCTCCCCATCCCCGTGACCAACTATCAACTACTAATTTGTACTTGTTTAACCCTTCACCCTATCCTCTTAGCCCTCCAAACTCCCTCCCCTCTGTCTGTTACCAAATTGTTCACTATATTCGTGAGTCTGTTTTTGATTAGTTTGTTTTTTGTTCCTTAGATTCCGCATATAAGTGAATCCATATGGTATTTACCTTTCTCTGTCCAACTTGTTTCACTCAGCATAAGAACCTTTAGGTCCATCCATGTCATTGCAAATAGTAGGATTTCATTTTTTTTAATGGCTGAGTAATATTCCACTGTATATATGAACCATAATTTCTTTATCCAATAGTCTGTAGATGGGCATTTAGGTTGCTTCCCTATCTCGGCTATTGTAAACTGTGCTGCCGTGAATATTGGGGTGCATAGATCTTTACGAATTATTGTTTTGGTTTTCTTTGGCTAAATACCCAGAAGTGCAATTGCTGGGTGAAAAGGCATATCCATGCTTAATTTTTTGAGAAACCTCCATACTGCTTTCCATAGCGGCTGTACCAATTTGCAATCCCACCAACAATGTATGAGCGTTCCCTTTTCTCCACATCCTCGTCAAGACGTGTTTTTTTAATTTGATCTTTTTTTCTGACTAGTTTAGTACAATAACCCCTTTTTATTGGCGGGGAATACAGTCTAAGACTCCCAGTGGATGCCCAGAGCCACAGGTAGTACTGAACCCTACACTTGCCATGTTTTTTCCCGTACATACATACCTTTTTACTTAAGGAAGCACTCTACAGTTTCTCTTTGGATTATCTGAATAGCCAGCATCACTACTCTTGTGTTTTGGGGACGTCACGAAGTAAAATAAAGGTAACTCAATACCACACAGCGGATCTGATCACTGAGACTACTACGTGATTAACAGGGCGGGAAGCATCTGCAGCGTGGTTATGCTGGGTAACAGGATGACTCACGTCAGGGCGGGATGGAGCAAGACAACACGAGATTTCAACCTGCTACTCAGAAAGGTGCACAGTGTATTTCCAGAATTCTTCATTTAATATTTTCGAACTGCAGTTGACCACAGGTAATGAAAACCACGGAAAGCGAAACCACATGTAAACGGAGGGTAGGGAGGAGCAGGGTTGGGGAACTACTGTATTGCCATCATAAATATGTTATTATCTTCTGCCAATATAGCATCTTCCAAGAATCCTGAGGTGCGTAGGAGTAGTTTGCTTTTTCAGTGAATTCTCCCAGATTGCTCTTTCTGATTGTTGCAATTGGGGTTAACTTTAACCATTGATATATGTAGTAGATATTGACCTTCTACTCTATTCTAAGAACCGTGTAAGATTTGCTGCGGAACTTATTTGCTCCAACATTCAGGAAATCACAGAATTTCAGAGCCAGGCTGGAGCTTCAAGATAAGCTAATCAAATTGCTTCATTTATAAGCGAGAAAGTGAGGGCTCGGAGAGAGCTTGGCTCAAGGTCACACTGAAGGTTAAAATCTGACTTGCCTGATTTCTTATTCGCTTCTCTTTCTACCAAGCTCTTTGGATTTTACTCAACAGTATGCATAATAATAACAATATTTCACATTTTCAAATCACTGTCACCCAAATTGCTTCATCCTGCCAAAGATGAGAGTAATAGTAATTATCATTACAACTAGCACTTACTGGTAACTTACACCAAACCAGTCACCAAGTGCTTTTGCATTATTTCGTTAGTCTTCACAATAGTCCTATTATTAAGAATACTGTTACTTTCACTCTTTTACAGATCACGAATGTAGGCTGAAGGAGGTTAAACAATGTGCCCAAGGCCATGCAGCCAGGATATGGAGCAGTTCAGAAGTTTCCTCATTGCCTGATGCCAGAGTCCCAACAGAATCCACCGCCCACTATGCCTGCCTCACAGACGCCCTCCTCCAGAACAGACAAAGAAGGTATTGTACCTTGCATTTCAAAGCTATGTTTCGCTTGTGGGTTTAAGATTAATTTTATAGAAATTTTACAGTAGTTCAAGCCTAGAAAATAAGTAAATTCCCTGAAGGAGAGAATATAGAGAAAGCGGCCTCTGGGGACCCCAGAAGTTAAGGGACAAATGCAGGAAGAGAAGGTAACACATTAGGAGTTACTATTCTATTCCATGT